CTCTTTGTACTGATCATCTTGTAAAACCTCAGAAGAACTCCAATCCTTATAATACATCAGTAATGAAATAAAAATAAATAAAACTATAAGAAGAGACTTCACTAATCACTGATGTGTTTCTGCTGCTCTGGGAGGTAACGCTATAATATCTGTGCCCTAAAGGGTTAATATTCAGGGGAGGGAGGGGCTACTTGTGTGAGTGGAGAAACGAGCCCCGCTGCCTGCAGCTGGCTCGGACAGAGAGACGACAGAGGAGTGTTTTTCTGTGGGTCCAGCGAGTTSCAGCTGCCCCTTTTCTAACATATTATTGAACTCTAAAGAGTTTTTAGATGACTWTGACTCTGTTTTGCATGCTGAGAGTCATTACGATAGCTTTTTAGCTTTACTAATTTTGCACATCSTCCGCGGGTCATCRTCCGCTCTGAGTAAACAAACRAAGCTTMACCTGGTGCRGAGGCATGTATAGTCTGGTKGCCCGCCAGGCTTATAATGCACTTCAGAAAATCCTGACTCACTACTAAATGAACAATCATTATAAACATAATCTCTAAAACAAGTTAGCAGCTAACATACCTCTGATGTAGTGATGGCTGCAGGCACCGGCATTCTGCTCCTCCTGACTGCAGACGGTTTAAAATCCAYTTTTTACGTTGTCGTTCTGTGAGCTTTCTACATTTTTCATCTTTGTGTGATAATCTTCAGKGCTTCAAAGGGTTGGGCAGAATCGTGCGGAATTATTMATCAGAAAAAACTTTTGATGGTTATTATTTGATACTTGGTGATGTAAGACGTGTGTGGTATCGACAGCCTCAGCAAATTTTTAGGTTCTGTCGAAAACTCATTCATCTTYATCTTACGAGTCATGTCTGACATATTTGTGAACAAATTGCTGTTATATTTTTTTTAAATAGGACCTAAATCCATACAATATAAACACTCTACAGTAGTTTCCTCCATAGACATTTTACCCCCTGCCCTCCAGGGCCTTCGAAACCACGTGACTGAAACCCAGCTATTGCAAATGCTGCTAATAGTTACTGAACTGCCCTCATTTTATATTTTAAAATACTTGGATACTGCAGGTATGTTGGTATGTTACATAATGTTTAACAGGCAGTGGTAATGTGGAACGCTGATGTAAAATTATAAAGCCGGATTTAACAAATGTGACTGAACTGAGTGTAGTCGGCTACTTCGATTTCAATCAATCCAAATGGTTTGTTGATGGCGGAGGGATTTGAATAGTGAATGATTGTAGCTTTGGAAATGATTATATATATAT